AGATGCAGGAATCATTGCAAAAGACTTTGTAAGATGGTTGACACTTCTGAATTTCAAGACAGAAACAACCAAGTTAAGGTTCTATTTTCCCTTACTGAACTGCATTTGGTTTCAGTAGGGAATCCCATATTCTAATTATGACTGGCGTTTACTGCTGTTTGACCTTGGCCAAATGACTTTACTTTTCTGAGCTACAGATTTCCCATCTTACTTAATATTTTTATAATTCTTTCTGGTCACATAACTTCTCTTTGGTTCTCTATTCTCATCTGTAAAATGGGGAAAAGGGGACAGACTTGATGAATTCTGAGGTCCTTTCCAGCTAACCTTAGTCAAAATGGTCTCAAAATTTCTTCAAAGTCTAATGGTCTAATATTTTATGACTACATGATCAGAATCTATTTTTTTCTGAATAATTATAGTTTTTTTAATCTTTTCCCATTGCTATTAAGTAACTATTTTCAAATAATCAGATTAGGTTAAGTAGTATGTCTTAGATTACAGAACATAATCATATCTTAACCAGGAAAACAAATGAACAAACAAATACAATTATTGGAGATGATCAATACAGGGAAGGCTTTAGCATTAAGAAGGACATAGAGAGATTTCTTATGGAAGGTGATACTTTGGTTGAGACTTTGAAGAAACCAAAGCAGTTAGAAAAAAGAGATGAAGAAGGAGGCAATCCCAGACATAGGAACAGCCTATGAAAACACTGTGTTGGAAGATAAAGTTTTGTGTGTATGAGAAGCAGAAAATAGACCTGTGTATATGTAGATGGAACAAGGTATAAAAAAACAGGAAGGCAAGAAGGAACCGTTTATAAAGTTAAAATTAAAGATAAGATTTTATATTTGATCTTGGAGGTAATAAGAGACTATTGGTTTTTATTGAACATGGAGAGGGATGACAGGGTCAGCCTTTTGTTTAAGGAAAAATAATCTTGACAACTCAGGTTAGGACAGACTGGAATGAGTGGATACTTGAGGCAGAGAAACTAAGTAGCACAATGTTGTGATAATAAAGGTGTTAGATAAAGAGATACTAAACTGGAGTGATACAGTTTAAGAAATGAGAAAGATTATACACAAAAATTTATACCAAAGTAAAAATAAAAGGCCTTGACAATTGATTTGATATGTGGCAGATGTGGGGAGGGGTAAGAGAGGTTTTGAACCTGGTTGACAGGGAGGATAGTATTATCCCCAAAAAACATAAGAGAGTTAGGAAGAGGGGAAGATTTATGAAGAACTATAATTAGTTTAGTTTTGAACATGTTGAGTTTAAAATGTCTATGGAAAATTCAGCTTGAGTTGTCTAATAGGCAATGCAAGTTCGCCCCTGTGATAAACATATATAGCTCACTATTTTTTACTTTAAATTGCTTGGACAATTGACTCTTGAGCAGTGGAATGACATTATGAAGGTTCTGTTTTATAAAATGATTAACCTAGTAATGTACTTGCATTTTAAAGGTTCAAAGAAAAATACATGATGATCTTGGATTTGGACAAAATAATGTTTTCAAATGGTCACAGGCTTCAAACAGAGGCCTTTAATATATTAACAATGATTCAAAACAGGAGTCAGATCACATTGTTAAATTGTTAGATACAAAAATAAAGACTACAGTAATAGTTAAATAGATATTTATTGAGTTTCTAAGGTGAATCAAAATACTGTCTGTACCTAAATGGTGAGGGGTTATTGATTGAGTCCAGATTGCTCCAGATATAAAATTTGAATAAAAAGAAAAAGAAAAACTAAAACTCTGGTAGTGAATTCTCCTTAATTGATCGTTTGTAAGCAAAAACTGGATGGTCATTTCTTAGACATATTGTAAAGTGGATTATTCTCATTCAGGTACACATTGGATTAGATGGTGCTAGAGTCACCTTCAGTTCAGACAGTATAGGTACTGTGGACTAGTGGCTGTAAGAAAAGTTAGAGGTTTTTTTTTTTGAAAGATACATGTTATTCTCTTCCAGTAGTATTTTCTTTTGGTCATCAGTTTTCCCACTGCCTTGGCTTTCCTTTCAATATTAGAAAAATCAAAACCATAGAAATCTCAGATGGGCTTGTCCTTCTGCCATCTAAGAATGTGCTCATCTAAGAATTCATTACACCTTAGTCTCACACTGGGAGCATTTTCTCAACTCAGGGATTCTCTTGTTTTCTTAGTATCTTTTCAATAACTCCTGGAGATTTCAATCATCATTAAACATCTAGGATAAACGTGCTTCCCTGGACATAAGACTCTATTCAAAATGTCTCTCTCTTGAAAAGTAAAATGCCATTTTTTGCCACTTCCCCAATTTATTTTTGTGCCTATTCTTGTTTGTGAAACTTGGCTTTGTGACAATTACAATAGTGATGCCCTCTAAAGATCCAAGAATCAACATAGATTTTTTTTTCCAAATAATTTTTTTTCTAGGAATAAGCTCTTGTGTTTTGAAGCAATTCTCAAATCCCAAAATTAAAAAATTCATCCCATTCATCCAACAAACAAATAATCAAATACAAACTCCTTAGTGCTTTGTTCTTTAATATCTAAAAACAATGACAATAAAACTCTGAAATATAGCATGCTATATGGGACTACCCAGTTAAAAAGCAATGAACAATAGTCCTACCTTTTCTGCAGACTAAAACAAAATACAAATTTATTAAACCCAGTGAACCTTTTTTGGATTATTGAATTTCCCTTCATATATACACTCTTTTTTGGGAAAAGCTGTTTAGTGTTTAACACACGGGGAATCCCGTCAGTCATCTCTCACATCTCATCTCTGTGCCTTAGAAGGTGTTGCCCCCCAACCCCAACTCTGAAACATCTCTTTTCATCACTAGCTCATAAAGTCCCTACTTTTCTTCCCACCTCAACTAAAGTGCCCTTTCCTGAAGGAAACCTATCCTTATATCTACCAGTTGCTAATGACCTTCCCTCAGAAATCACTTTATATTTACTTTATATTTAATTTTAAGTACTTTTTTTAAATCCTAAGAGAATATAAGCTGCTTTTGAATAGTCATGATTTGGTTTATGGCTTGTGATTCCCATTGCCTAGGATAGTGCCTGGCAATTAATATGTACTTAATAAATCTTGGTTGAATAAATTAATGGATATATTAAAAATGTGTATTATCTTGAATTCTAATAAAAACTATCTGTTCTACTTTTCTTAAGAGATACAGTTCTTTGGGCTTAGAAAAAGAAAGAAAAGTATGATCTGTTCATAAGTGATAGTAGTGTATATGCCCCAAGATAATTCCACAAGCACTTGCTAATTGTATTCTATATGCCACTTTAAGGAGTTTATATTCTGTTTGGGGCTTTTCCTCAAAATGCCAGATCCAATAGGAACTCACCAATGGTGGAAGGTAGACACAGGGGTAAAGGGAGAAGACTGCTATGTCTTGGTAGAGGACTTTGTAGAGTAAAAAGGATGGCTGGTCTAGTCCCTTCCTCAAAATGTAGTTTTAGAGAGGAACTCACTACTGGGCTAAGGGGACCAATTGCAAAGCCCTTGGTTTTGAAAGAGATGTATTTTTGTAAAAATTGATGTTGTGAATGTTGTTGATTCCCATTGCCACCTAATTTACTTTCACAATGAATTGATACCTCAGTGTAGCATTTTATTTTAAGAATTCACTCTAGGTAGGATTCTATGAGATCTCAGATCAGCTTCTTTACTGTCCAGACAGGAGGTTAAAATACAGATGCTAGTTAAGTTTGCATCAGGAGATGAAGTCAGAAGGAAGAAAGGTGATCTGTAGAGAGTTTTTATGTCTTTTTCTTTATTCCCTTCTTCCTACTCAAAATTTCAATTATTCTTGATGTGACTAGAAGAAGTTAAGTGTGCCTCATAAAGGGGCTATCTAGACTTGACCTATGATTTAATTAAATAGGAGAAGGTAAGGCAGAAAGAAAGGAAGGAAAAGAGAAGGGAATAAGCATTTGTTTAGAGCCAATAGTGTGCCAGGCATTGTGCTAAATGATTTAAAAATATATATTATCTCATGCGGTCTTCACAACAACACTGTGAGATAGATAATATTATTATCCTTATTTTATGGTAGAAGGAACCATTGAAGACACTTGCCCAAGGTCATACAGGTAGTATGTATCCTAGTCCAGATTTGAACTCAGATCTTCCTAACTCCAGACATGGAGCTTTATCCACTTCTCCACCAGCTGCCTCAATACAGGGACCTCTTATGCAATTATTTTAAACAACCTAATTAACTGGTTGTCCTTAATTAAAATGAATGAGCTCCTGAAAGAGGCTCTTACTCTGTAATCCTATGAGCAATGGGACAATGGGCCTGATGAAAATCTTCAGTGAATTTAACCTTGTTCCAATATCACCAAGCATCCAAAGATATTCTAAGATTCTGTCAACAAGAATTGGAAGGTCATTAGCTCATTATCATTCACTTCCTCAGAAAGAGAGAGAGAAATAGGGGGAAAAAACAAACTACTGGGATGCAGTATATAAAGAAGGTTAAGAATAAGGAAAGTCATTAAAGAGCTTTGAGGGAAAATCGCTCTATAGGCTGCCTGAAAGTGTATCTCTCCTGTTCTGTTTTTCAAATGGATAATGACTTGTTGAAGTACTATGATGTGTACGGCAAAATTTTGCATATGACTTCCAGAGATCATAGCTAAGAAAAAATACAATAAGCTATACAGAAATCTAGAGTTAGGATATAGTTATACTAATGGTGAAATCTTACGCTAGGAAAAAATATATATACCTTGACTAAAGTGACAGGAGTTTGAAACATTTATCCCGTAAAGCAGAGAAGCACCAGGCAATTTTAGACAAGGAGCGTTGATTCATGAGGAGGAATATGGAAGTGTGTTTCCATCAATAAGTGAAATGTGCACTCTTCTCCCCTGGATAAACTAAAGTGATTTTGTAATTCAGCATTTTGCCCAAAGACACAGAAGACGGGGAAAGAAGACAACTTTCTGATTGTGCTTCATGTTGCAGATAGCCTGGGACTAGATGCTGAAGTCTCCAAAGCGAACACCATTGGATTTGTTGGATGCCTATCATCAGTCCAGTATAACCACATAGCACCACTGAAGGCAGCCCTGCGCCACCCCAGCATTGCACCTGTCACTGTGAAAGGTGTTCTGGCAGAGGCTAATTGCAAATCTGTAATAGAAGCAGATGTAAACACAGTGACAACGGTATACTCTTCATCAGGTATGTCTTAGTAGAGAAAAATAGCTCTGCAAAGAGATCCAAGACCCAAAAGGCTTTTTTCCCTTGCATGATATTTGTAATTTCAACATACCTTAGATCATAAAATCCAGATTTAAAGTGGAATGAGACATTAGATGTCGTCTAACCTAACAACCTCATTTTACATATGTGGACTGACCTGTCCAAAGTCACTTAAGTAAGAATCAAGTAGGACAAGATATCAATCCAGGTCCTTTGATTGTAAGTCTGGAACTCCTTCTACTGTAATACACTATCCCAGCACATTACTGTATAATCAATGAAACCCTAATGATGACACAAAACCAATAAAAGGTTAAATGTTATTCAATATATTGTTTCAAGAGGAAACATGATATACCAGGTAGAAACAACTGCCTCGAGAAAACTTGAAGTTCAGGTTCCACTTCTGATAGTAGTGGTGATACATAGTAGCTACTCATTTAGCCTCAATTTCCCAGGCAACTCTCTAAGACTCTAAGTTTGACAGAAGGGGCCAGGCTGAATCAATAGAAGTTTCCCAGCAGGACCCTATTATACCAGTACAATCATAAGCCTTGTTTAAAAAAAAATGCATCTGTTTCAAAATATATAAATGAGAATAATTCCAAAACCATTAAAAATAGGTTATTAAGAATAAATCTGTTGTCCTGACAGAAAAATAACCTAACCAAAATAAGTCATTTCCCATTGTTAGTATGTATCTAGGTCCTTTTATTACAAACCCTGTGGGCCTACACGCAAGTCCTTAATATGCTGATGGGATAAAGTCCAAGTCCAAAGATGAATACCAAATACTACACAGAAAATAGTGGCTGCCAGATTCCTACTTTTCATGGAATGAAAATAACAGAGATGGATTTATAGAATTATCTTCCTCAATCAGTCTGCCTTCAGGCACATCACAGCTAACCCTGGCAAATCTGCCCTATTTTGTAAACTTTCAGACTTATCAATTACATATTTTAGTTGCAATAGGTGCCTCAGGGATAACTGGAAAACTTTTAAAATGTATCTGGGAAAGTATTTGTTTTGTCCTAACTATTCAGCTTACAGGGAAATAGCATAATTTATTGGATAAAAATTCAGTCTTAAAGTCAGAAAGTCCTGGGTTCAAGTACTGCCTCTGACACATGCTAGCTTTATTATAGTAGTCATTTAATTTCTCAGTACCCCTAGGTAATTCTCTGAGAATCTGGAGTTCCCAAAAAGTTACTGACTTGCATTTATGTATAGGAACATCTCCACCCAAAGTTCCCTCCACTGATGAAATCCCCTATCTAGAGAAGTGGCATGGGGGGAAAATCCCCTACAATAAGAAATTAATAGCATTGTGAGGTAATAGAATATCATTGGACTAAAAGTGAAAATTCAATGTTTATTAAGTACTATATGAGCCTGACACTATGCTAGATGTTTGAGATACAGAGCAAAGAAGCCCTGAATTATAATCATAGCTCTGTCATTAAAATCCTTTGTGACCCTGTGCAAGTCATTTCATCTTCCTAGGCCTCATTCCCTGATTTGTGAAATTGGAATAGTCATACATGCCCTACCTGTGTCACAGAGATATTGTGAGAGTCATCCTGACCTCTTCCCTCTTCCCTGTCCTCCCCATATCCAATCAATTGCCAAATCTTGTCAGTTTCCATCTGCACATTTCATGCATCTATTCATCCACACAGTAGCATCCTAGTTCTTTCTATTCACTAAAGCATGCTGTTTCTTCACAAATGGAATAGTTCAAACAAAATAAATAGCTCCCCAGATACATTTTTAAAAATTTCACCTTTTTTTCTGAGAGAACTGCGATAACTAAAAATGTGAAGTTGATAAGTCTTAAAGTTTACAAAATGGAGCAGATTTGGCAGGGTTAGCTACAACATGAGAGAAGGGAAACAGACAGATGGAGGAAAGCATTTCTATGTATGTACAGGAATGATTTTTTTTTCACTCTCCATTATTTCCATTATCTCTCCCTCAGACTACTATAATAGCTCTCATTTAGTTCCTTACTTCTGACATCACCATTCTTCAATTCATCCTCCACACACTTACCAAAATAATCTTTACAAATCAAAAGTCTAATCAGATCCCTCCCTCACTTGCTCAAAAGCATTCATTTCCCATTCCCCACTCCCATTATCTACAAAGGCATACTCGTTACTCTAGTATGTAGGACCCTCCATAGAGTCCTTTGCCTTCCCAGATTAATTTTATGGTACTCCCTTTTATTATTTCTACATCCCAATGTACTAACCATCCCCCAAGCTCAATGATGAATCACCATTCTATATACATATTTCTATAAGCCTGTTCCCATGCTAAGAATGTTGTATCTTCTTATTTCTTTCAGAATTCTTGCTTTCTTTAAACACTTAACTCAGATGCCAATTATTCCATGAAACTTTCCCTGATCCTCTCTAGTTTTCATACTTCTTTGTTCCTCAGTTTTCCTAAAACCCTGCTTATTTACTTACAGGTTATAACCCCCAATAGAATGTAAACTCCCTAAAAGGAGGCATAAGTATAATTTTTTTTTGTATTTTTCTCCCCAGGGCCTTTCACATATTAGATATAGAATGCATATTTACTTAATTGAATTGAAACAAACAAACAAACAAAAAGCATGCAAACAAAAATGCGCGTCACTGTGCATTTTTTCTTTTCTAAATAGAAAAATAATTTCTTTGAATTTTGGAGAGTCAACTATATTTTTTTAAGACTGATACTTTCTGTTCTCAGAAGCACATATTTCCTGGTCATGAACAGTATAAATTTACCTTATAGAACTAAACTTTCCCTTTCAATTCGGAAGGAAACCTGGGTCCTTAACTTAGCATTCATTCTCCTTTGATAGTAGTGTGCTATGGCTACTATTTCAAAAAGATAAGTATCTATTTCCCCTGAATGTGTTTTTGGGGGATGGGGATGGGAATCCAAAGGGAAATGATACAGATACAAAATTATATGCAATTTTTTTAATGAACACAAATTTCCCCTTTGTTTCTTTGTTTCCATATTTACTGAAGGACCTTTGTCTGTTTCTTTGTTAACATTTTTTGGGGGAATTTAGCCTTGCCTGACACCAGGTATTTCAAAACATTCTGCTTTCTTGTGAAATCTTGGAACAGATTGGCCAAGGACATTAGGGAATCTCTTTCTGTGGGTAGAAAAATAAACTAAATTGCTATCTGTTATGGGTTAGGTAGAACCCAATGAAAGGGCAAAGGGATTAATTTTATGATTTCTGGGTATGTCATCCATCTCTATTAATCAACTCAATTCAGCAAACATTATTAGGTGCCTACAGAATGCAGAATATTTTCTTAGGTGCCCGAAGAAATACATAATATAGATATGGCATGACAATTGTTTTCATGGAGTTTACAGTCTTCATAGCACTCCACAAGAATAGATTATGCCCTTGAAATTAATGTTAAAATTAGTAGAGTTAAGTTCTGGAAGAGCAGAAAAACTAGAGAATAAAGATTCATTATCCCAGTTCTCAGACTTTCAGGTTGGGTATTAGGTAATTTCTTTCCACAAATTGATAGATGCTGGAATGCAGGAATAGTGGAAATGGCAATATTTACTTTCTGGCTCTGACTGGCCTTTTGATTAATGTGATACAGTGGAAAGAATGCTCTATTAGTAGTGATAGCACCTGTATTCAAATCTTGGCTCAGATGTTTAAAGCCTGTGCTGTTTGTTCAATTTGGCCCACCTCCCTGGCCTCAGTTTCCTTATCTCTAAAATGGAGGTGGACTAGATGACCTGGAAATGCTTTTAAGTTCTAAATCATTGGTATTATAACCCCATATTCAGGACCAAAGAGGAAGAAATATGTTACCAATATGTAAAGAACCTCAAGTTCTTAGAAGAAAGAGCATACTTAAGTGATGGTATTAGTCATGGAACCATGCCATATTTGATCTGGAAGACACCTTAGAGTTCTTCTAGATGAACTTTCCCTTCACCATCACCCTCTTTTTTAATAGGGAAGGAAACTAATAATAACATAACATTTCACATTTTTTTTTAGTGTGAAGAGAGTTAGATGGTGTGGTAGATAGAAAATGGGCCTGATGTCAGGGAACCTTAGTTCAAATCTTACATCATACACTTACTAGGTGTGTACTTCAGTTTTCACAAATATAAAATGGGAATAGTGATACCATCTACTTCACAGGGTTATGTTGTGGATCAAATGATATAATATTAGTAAAATTCTCCACAGAGTTTTGGCACACAGAAAACAGCAACATATAAATGCTGGCTATTTATGATGGCAATGACCATGATGATGATGATTGGTATGATTCACAATAAATGTGTATATTATTCATATAAAAATTCTCACATTGTCATTGCTAGGCAGATAAAATATGGAGACAACCAAATCTCATTTTATACTCTTTTGTTCATTTAAAATAAATATTCCTAGTCACTATTATTTTTTTTCCCCTTGGAAATGAGGAAGGGGAGATCTAGACCCTTTTATATTTTAAGCATAGGGAATTCCCATTATAGAAATTCCCTCTAAGGTTGCATAAAGACAATCAGTCTTTAACTTTGCATTCAGGAAAATTGCTTGAAGCATGGATAGGTCAAGGAACTTGCCTTTGGATAAACAGATATTATGTGTCATAGGTAAGACTTCGATCTCAAGTCTTCTTAACCACAAGGCCAGGTCACTATCAACTGTACCAGGCTGTGCTTTGGTCACTATCATTCTTAGTTAAAACTTAATGTGGTATGCATTGACAACATACAAACTGAAATACACACATACGCACACACACACACACACACACACACACACACACATATATATGCATGTATGTATGTATGTGTATATATGTATATGTATGTATAGATATGTGTGTATATCTATATCTGTATCTATATATCTGTCCAAATCTTATTCTAGAGGGAATTAAGAAAATAATGGGGAGGAGCCAAGGTGCCAGAAAGAAGCC